CATATCAGTCAGTGTGCTGCTGAATGCTTGCGAATCATAAAGTGAATTTAAATTGCTTTGGTACTTTAATATCTGTGCCTTTTCAAATTCTACTTTTGAATTTGAATATTTTCTTGCAGTATTTTTTGTTTAAATCCCGCCATCCTCACCAATTCAGTTCAAATTTAATTCTTTCACAGTTAAGGAAATTCTGGCATTTTCCCTCAAATGTTAAAAGTTTATTTACTGGCAAGTTTTTTGATTATTTGAATAGTAAACTTATTTTTGAACAGACTCATTGATAATTCGGTCGCGCTCGATTTTGAATGAATTTGCAAGTAATATTTCATGAGACTTCACGCTTTTCCGTGAAAATTCACATTCCAACACATTATTAGCTTTCCAAAACCATGGATTCTGTCAAAGCTATTCTGATTCTTAAAATATTAGGTTTGTGTACTTGTGTGAACGATTAACTCTGAACATTTTTGCATTCTTACGAGAACTGTCTTATTTCGTTCTTTTGCATTTACTTCGCTCTGATTGAAACAGTACCATTATGATACATTGTGAAGTGTGTGCGTGATATAAACGCATCTAAGTTAAGGTATTTGCGACAGTGAGTAGTGCTAACTTCCTCGAGCTAATATGAAATTGCGCTTTATTTTTCAGCCCCGAAAACCGGTGCAAAGGTACTACAGAATGCGTCCTTTCATTGTATCTCTAAATTCTTACTGTAACTTTATGCCACCGCTGTCTGCCGCGCACGTTCCACCGTTTAATTCGATCACGTCTTCCCCAACAATATTTCCAGACTGTTGTTCTGCCGAACAATGGTACTACACGATCCTTTACAGGCAATTTATGATCAGTAGAATGGCGCGCACAGAGGTTTAATGCTATTCTTTGTAGATTTTGTATACATTTTCTTGCATTAAATACTTTATAATTCTTGAAAATTGACCTGACATTTCTTTGAACACTTCAAATAGTTCTTTGTAAAAAAAATAAATAATAGAAGCATATTTGTTTTTTGTAAACGTACGAATAAAAAAAACACTGATAATAGTTTTGACATTTAAAAAGTTTAGGCATCTTTCCATCAAAACATAGCAGTAAGAGGTGTGTTGCAAGAAAATGCTGTGAATGCTCCTAAAAGGCCTAAACGTAAGGCCCAGCCAAAGTTTGATTTTGCTCATCTTGCTAGAAGCATTGAAAACGAAAACAGAGTAAGTTTTGCACAAAAAAATCCACGTGTAACGAAGGTTTCAAACTTTAACTTCAAATCGTTTTGTACGTAAATTGTATAATGCAAGTGAAAATACAACAAATTGTGAGAATTGTTGCATGTGAATACCTTTAGCGAACTGAATTTGAAAACAGATCAAATATAATTGTAGAAAGGTCAAGCCTGATATTTTCGATCTCGAACTGTGATTGGCTGCAAAATAAATTGTCTAATTAAGTTTTTGGTGTAATTGGATTAGGTGAGATTTACCAATAGAATTAAAGATTAAATAAAAGCATCGATGTTGAGTTGTTTTGAATAATTTTTAGAAAGTAATGAAAGATTTCTGATTTCTAAAAAGGAAGATTTTATTCCAGAATGCGGAAACAGAAATTTGCCACAAATTTTTTCTGAATACTCGCCAGATTCGAGTAATTAATCCTCTAATTCGAGGTACAGTAGTATATTTTTTAGATAGCAAGAGAATCAGCAGGTCAAGATGAAGAAATTGCACAGAACTGCTCGCCGCATACATCCATGACATCGATTTCCACAGGCATAGACCAAAACAAGCCTTGGTAAATATTGAAAAAGGATAAAAGTGTTACTTACTTTAATTCATTTATTAACTTTATCAAATTTAATAATTGAAGTATCAGAATCCGAAGTAAAACAATAGTGAAATAACAAATTATTATTAAATATGGCCAATAAAATTGATAAAAGCGGTCATTGTGATTGATGGATTCAAGTAATTTTAAAAATTGATAAAAGAATTACAGTACTCATCTTATTCCGGATCTAATATAATTATAATAGGGTGATAATAATTCACAAATGTTTAAAAGTTTCAATTCAATTAATTAAAGTAAATCAATCAATATTATTAGGTTTATGCTCCCAAAGCAAAGCACTGGGAGAGGAT